ACTCCTGGTACAGAGCTCATCCTCTCTGTGGAGAGCAATTTGCATCTATATCATCGNATTGACACTGCCATCGTGAGCGCAGCTGACTCCTGGTACACAGCTCATCTTCTCTGTGGAGAGCAATTTGCATCTGTATCATCACAGTAGCCTTAAACATTAACTACCTGCCAGGCGCCAAGGCTGCTGCATAGAGCTCTGCAGTTTATTTACAGAACAGCAGGACTCAGCTCAGGAGGGGCTGAGGCGGGGCCCACAGCTCAGCCACCGCCTCTTCCCAGAAGGGGCGCCTTTGTCCCATTCACACAATGGCAGCATCTGCTCACCAAGCGGTGACCCTCCCACCAAGCCAGTGTCTGTGAGGAGGAGGGTGCATTTCCTAACTCACACAAAAGCACCACGTGGGCTAGCTGAGGCCTTGCTGGCGAAAACGCCTCACATAGTTTATCTTGTTTAATCACTAGAACCCTACGAGGTGGCTCCCACGCCCATTTCCCAGCTGAGGAAGCTGCCTTCTTCTAGCTTCCCCACGTTACGCAGCCAGGAAGCAGTAAAGCAAGAATCAAGCCCAGGTATCTAGTGCCTAAGCCACTGCCACCAAGTCCAGGTGCAAACAAACCAAAGCTCTATCACCGTCAATGTCAGTCACATACAGTCCCAGTGAGAACAATTGCCATGTGATCTTTCCAAAGTCCCCAAATGCACCTTCCTCCCCGGCTATGCTCCAAAGTAAGTACATAAAGTAAAATAAAATAAACTTGAAGACTGTTGCATTAGCTATTTCATTGTGGAATATTACATAGGAGCATATAAAAATGTAGAGTTTAAGGAATAAATGATTCCACTGCTGTGATCACCATCCAGGTCAAGAAACTTGTCAGTACTTTGGAAGACGCCTCTCCATTAGCTCCTTCCCAGTCATACCTTCATCCTTCAGCCCTAGAGGCAACACTCTCCTGACTTTTATGATAATGGTTTGTCTCTATATTTTGATACCCACATATATATCCCTAAACAATATGGTTAAAGTCTCTCAATAAGTATCCATTAAGCATCTAGCATGTACCAGGCTCTGTTCTAGGCACTTGAAATAATAATAAAGATGCTTCCCCTCATGGGGCTCATGTTCTAGCAAGTTTGTGTCTGTTTTTGAACTTAATGTACTATCAGACATATAGTGCAGCATTTATTCTGCACATTGTCGATTCATTCACTTTGTTCTATGTAGTTGTAATTCATTTTCATTGCTTTTTATAGTAGCCCATTGCATACATGTTTTATAATTTGTTTCTTCATTCTATTATTGATGGATACCTGGATTGTTTCCAGGTTGGGACTATGAGCTTTTTTGTACATGATCCAGATGGATATGACTATGAAATCTCTAAAACACACCTATGAATAGAACTGCTAGGTCATTGGGCATGCAAATATTTAAATTTGTCAGGTAATAAACTATTATCCGAACATGGTTGTACCAATCTACCCTTCCACAAGCTATGTATAAGCTCCTATTGATCCATAGCCTTACAAACACTTTGTATTGTTAGACTTAAAAATATTTGCCAATTTGATGTGTTAGCAATCTCATTGTGATCTTATTTTGCGTATCTCCAAACAAGTATTGGTCTTTTAGATTTCCTCTTTTGTAATGTGCTGGTTTCAAGATTTTTGCTCACAGACAGCAGGGGGGTTGGGGAAGCACATGAGCAAACNTCTCCAAACAAGTATTGGTCTTTTAGATTTCCTCTTTTGTAATGTGCTGGCTTCAAGATTTTTGCTCACTGACAGCAGGGGGGTTGGGGATAATTGTCGAAGCACATGAGCAAAGNTCTTTTGTAATGTGCTGGTTTCAAGATTTTTGCTCACAGACAGCAGGGGGGTTGGGGAAGCACATGAGCAAACCTGATCCTGAATATACATCTGATACTTCTGGGGACTCCCAGTGTGCAGGTTAAAGGGTCAATATAATTTAGATGTTAATGTTGATGTTATGACAGTTGTACCACAGGCTGACCAGGTCTGGAATTTGCTGAGCACCTACTATATGCCAGACACTTTATGCCAAGCAAGCTACAGAGTCAACTCACCTCCAAAGGTAATTCCAAGGTAACTGTTAACAGAAGCAATACAATAATAAGGGCAACTTTTTACATCTAATCCAAGATATTGGTCAAACTCAAAAAATAAAATTGTTAAATTACCAGAAAAGAGAAAGAGAAAAATCTTATTTCCTCAGTCTAACATGCTCAAAAGAGATGCTCATGTAGTTGAAAGGAACCAACAAGTAAATTCCTTGGGTGAGAGAATTGTAAAGAAACCCAAGGGCTTCTAGAGAAACTGGGACTTTGTAAAGTTTGTTCCCAGTTTGAGAAGGTGGAAGGGGATTAACTTTGCCAAGGTTACTCCCTGATAAGTAGCAGGTCTGTGACTTGAATTCAAGTCTACCCACTCAAACGTTCACATTGCACCACGATCCCCAGCAGCCGATTCAAAAAGCATGCCAAATGAGAACTTCGTGGCAAAATCCAGGAGAGCAACTCAGCCAGAATTTGACAATAGCAGGAGGTAGGGAGGTGGGAGAACTTACCATAGAAGCTGTTATTCTCGATCAATGACTTACCCGGCTTTCAGGAGCGGCGTGTGTGGCGCATTGCTGGTGATTTTCTGGCGCTTCGATGAGTGACTGAGCATACCGAAAGGTTCCTCTAAATTCTCTCTTTTTAAAAAAGATTTTGAATAGTCCCCCCTCTCCCCCCACTTTTTTAAATATGAATTACCTAGTTAGCAAAGGTCAAGAGCCCTGGGAAACTGCAGTTTAATTTTGAGGTACAATGGAGACATCCATGTGACTATATAAGGGTTCTTCTACACCCAATTCCAAAGTATGGGGGGTCCCCACATATTGAAGCAATTCTCTGGATACCAACCGGCTGGGTGTCACAATTCAACTCAGTTCTGATGCCACCTACCCGGAGATAGAATCAGATTCTACTCTGAGGGCTCAGTCCTGTACGACTGTCCATGACCCACACCCCATTTCAGAGGCCAATCGAAAGTTCAGGTTGTCACCTGCGCTTCTGACCACCTGGCTATGAATCAGAAGTTCCCCCAACTCCCTCCTTGCGTTTGACTGATTTGCTAGAGTGGTATGCAGAAGTCCGAGAAATAGTTCACTTACTAGATCACCAGTTTCCTAAAACAGGATATAACTCAAGAGCCAGATGGAAGAGATGCACAGGGCAAGGGTGTGGAGCTTCCAAGCTCTTTGAGCATGCCACTCTCCCCGAATCTCCACATGTTCACAACCCAAATGCTCTCCAAACTCACTCCTTTTGGGTTTTTACGGAGGTTCCATTACACAGGCATGACCGACTAAATCACTGGCCATTGGGGACTGATTCAACCTCCAGCCCCTCTCCCCTCCATGGAGGTCAGGTTTAGAATTGAAAGTTCTAGTCCTCAAATCACATGGTTGGCTCCACTAGCAACTAGCCCCTACCCTTAGGTGACCTAGAGGCTTTCCAAAAGTCACCTTATTAACATAAAAAAATATACCTTTATCATACCTAGAAATTCCAAGAATTTTAGGACCTCTGTGCCAGAAATAGAGACCAAGACCAAATATATACTTACTATAAATCACAGTATCACAGCATGCTAAGTGGCAGTCATATAAATGGGTTTAAGATGCAGAGAAGAAATCTAAGCCGGAGATAATAAACTATGGGACCACTGGCAAATAGGTGGTTACTAAAGTCCTTATTCACAGGGTATCTAGGCTGAAAAAACTGATAAATAGCCTCAGAAAAATGGCCAGTTGGGGAAAAAATTGGTCAAATTCATGGGTCGCCATAACATAAGAATATTAAAGTACATAAACTAAATCTAGGTCAGTCAATTACATTCCTACCTTAATTAGGAACTGACATAATTGAGTCAAATACTTGAACTTTAATTCATTTATTTCCATCATCAAAATATTTTATACCAAGTTCAATGTGATTTCTTTTCAATCAATGTTCATTTCTACTGCCCCTAAATCAAACTATACATAACTGAAATGCTGAGATATGGAGAAAAGCCTTTTCAGTTCCATCAATAAGCTTTTAAAGTATAAAATAATTTCAGTTCTCAAACTACATACAAATGAACTCTAGACAGGTTGAAAAATGAGAGAGGTTACTGTGGCTCCTGGTTGAATTAAAACTGTTGGAAGTAAAAAAATCTTTGGGGGAGTTAGGGGAGTTATCTCAAATAGAATCCAAATGATACTTTTCACACATTAAATTAAAATCTTTCCTGAAACAACTTATATTTTAGGGTAAAGGAAAAAGGTGAAGAGTGCTATAGACTATGAACAAGGTCAGATTTGGGGCACTGTCCCAAGAAAAACCCCAAGTCTCAGGATGTTAATCCCATAAATGCCTTTAAAATGAATGTAATTTCACCTGGTAGAACATTATTTCTTAAGTGTATTCTTGCCTATAACACTAGTTCTCAATTGTTTTCTGCAGCAATACAACTGATTACTTTCCCACATGGAACACACTCTCAGAACCTAATCAGACAATGGGCTATGACTTGCTTTGCTTTCAATCCCCGAGATAGCTTTGACTCTTACACTTTCAAGAAAAGCAACCGTAAATATGAGAAGTTATTTCACAGTATCATAGGGATAGTCCACTGTGATCCACAATGAACCACAACTAGAAGAGCCTCATAACCCAGAGTATAAATGGCCACTCATCTGATCAAAATCTGATCCATGATGAATCAGAAAAATCAAACTGATGAATTAATTGAAGTAAATTAGTTTCACGTTAAGCTTCTCCAATGATCACTTCCACAAGAATTAAAGCTAATAATTAAATGCCCAAAATAACTTTACATAAAACTTTAGCTCTAAGTTAATATATTCAGCTAAACATCTTTTCATAAATAATTTGCTTCCATTTTCCATATAAACATACTGAGAATTCCTGGAATAACAATTTCAATGATTACATTTGACTTTTAATTTTTATTAAAAATGAACGAAATCCAGAACAATTTATATACAACTATACAATGTCTGAAACAGTTTTCCTATTCCTATTAAAGCTTTACATTTGAAATGTCTACATGATATGTGCTTACGCAGGCTTGAGACTATCAAACTTCACCACCCAGTGACGTTAGCAGTTTTATTGCACAATGAGTCACAGAACACTGCATATTTGTCTAGTTCAGCCTATGTCATAAAGTGCTATTCATTGGTGGTAAAGTAGCAAAGCCTACTAAACAATGAAATTCTCCACGATATTTTCTATTTGGGTTGTAGGGGAAACTAATTTAGTGCTACCAGCCTGAATAACAGATTTCCATTAAAATATATATAATTAAAAAAAGGCCTAAGGGTTTTTGTTAGTCTATTAAAATGTCACAAGCGTTACAAAATGATGAGTGTTAATGAACAGCAGTAGAGTTTCTAACATTCTAACTTCAAAAAAACCAACCAGTTTAAATAAAACCCAAGAAGAAACGTGTTTCAAAAATAAACATAGCATTTACATAAAGTAATTCTTCAAATTAAGAGAACTTTTAAAAGAATTCAGTCATTATGATTTTAGTTATTACTCCTGAACAAATCAATCTGTATTTTTACTTGCTTATTACCAATGCTCATTACGAAACAATGAGCCACAGAAAATGTCATACAACTGACCAGTTAGTTATTCCACATTTTATATTATATTTAATGACACTAAAAATATATCGTGAATTTTTTTAAAATGTAAACATAAACCAGGACAATCTGATATGTAATATTTGTGCCCAAAAATGAAAATCACAAGACATAGGAAGAGAGGATTTAAAAAAAAACCCACAAATATGACCAATTTCAATGTATCTTCACTAATACTTATGAAAAATAATTATTTAACATAGGTGCAAATATTTTCATAGAATAAGAAAAACTGAAGACAAATTTTTCTGAAAAAAATTATATAAAATGAAGAGCTTCATGTGTTAACCACTAACTTTGTGTTTCCTACAAGAAACTGTATGGGCATTACAGCTAAGAAGACATGTCCTCAAGAATACAGTTTATGGTCTTTAAAACAAGCAAACAAACAAACAAAGAGCAGTATTCATTTTCTAGGCAATACACACTCATTTTAACATTACTTACAAACCTCAAAATACATAATTTTCCATTTAAATATATTACCATTTCTATGGCCTTTTTTCTTTTTCCCTGTCTATACATTTATTTTCCTTTTAAAAACAAATGCAAGACACATTGCTTATTACTAATTTCCATCCATAAGGCATTTAAGAAACATCTCTTAGGACATATACATGATATAAAAATGAAAAACCAAACACAAAAGCAGCATAATAAATACATCTGTATGCCTTCCCCGAAAAAGGAATGTAAGTATCAGCAACACCAGCTAACAAATAAATTAGATTTCCTGTTCATAAAAAAAGAAAGACAATCCAGTTAACCATTTCAATGTTAGGTAGGAAAGAGTGTCTTTTTCCTGCTATTCGTGAAAGGCAGAAGAGTGACATGGAAGCAGCAAGGCTGTTTAGGTTTTCTGCCTTTTAAGAAGAAACATACACAAAAAACAAGTGTGGCGACAGAATACTTAGACGATATGTAATTAGTTAGAAGGTTAACACCAAGGCATTATTTTGCCTACATTTTTCCTTCTAATTCGCATCAGATGCTTAAACTACATGTCCTCTTGGTATTCCAGATATTTGGCTGTGATAGGCTCTTCCAGCTGAATTCCTCCACTGCCCATTAATGCAAACGCCGGGTACATGGTGTGCGAGCAGTCCACTTGGCGCTCGTAAAGGCATTTCATGTGATCCATATCGTAGAAACCCACTCTGCCTTTATCATAGTCCAGGAAAATCCCTATACTTGTTGGCATGGGAAGAACTCTGTTTTCAGGTTCATTAGAAGAAGTGGATGACTTGGGGATAAAGAATTTCTTCATGCCTATCGTGACCAGCGTGAAGCGCTGAGAAGAGTCGAAGCAGGCGTCCTCGCTTCCGCTGTCGTGCCCACTGTCTTGCTCATACCTAAAAACACAGGGAGAACCTCATCCGCATCATTAGCCACAGGCCTTCGCGTACCTTCGAAACATTTTACAAGACAATATACACTGATTTAAAATTAAAATAAATTATATATCAAAAACTTTCTATTAAAACAAAAATATAAGAATTACACATTGCCATTCGGAATTATACCAACACACTCACCCAAAATTCTCTGTCTTAAAACATCATCCCTATGTTCATAGCAGCGCAGTTTACAATAGCTAAGATCTGGAAACAGCCCAAGTGCCCATCAGGAGATGAGTGGATAAAAAAGCTGTGGGACATTTACACCATGGAATACTACACAGCTGTAAAGAAGAAGGACCTTGTACCCTTTTGGGCAGTATGGATGGACTTGGAGAATATTATGCTAAGTGAAATAAGCCAGGCAGAGAAAGACAAATATCACATGATCTCACTTATATGTGGAATCTAAAGAACATAATAAACTGATGAACAGAACAGATTCAATGACATGGAAGCATAGATGAGACTGACGAATGTCAGAGGGATGGAGGAGGGCGGGGGGGAAGGGGGAGAGAGTAACCAAAGAATTTATATGCATATATGCACAACCCAAGGACACGGACAATGGTGGGGAGAGGGACTGGGGAGGAACAGGTCATTGGGGAGAAAAAGGGACATCTGTAATATTTTAAACAAAAATAAACACACACACACAAAAACCATCATCTACTTTTACCTCGATATATACACAGATGAGAACCTAAAACAAAACTTTGGCCTATCAAAAATAAAGCTGGAGGGTGAGGACAGAAGGATTTGTGAAAGATTACGTATTTATAGCACACAATCATATGCAAGGAAATACAAAACCAAGATGTGTGTCCTAATCCAAGGAATTACAAACTAAATAAATAGGCGCCACAAATAATGAAGGAGAAAAAAGCATGTTTCATTGTCCTCCACAGAACTCTATTTCCCAGCTGGGATTTCTACATGGATCTATGATGTAGCAACTATTATGAAGGTTTTTTCCCCTGTTGCATAAAACAGTAGCAGCTTATAAACAATTTTGATACCAAGTTCCTTTCCATATTTTTTCCTATGCAGTTTGCTTTTTATATATTTGTGATCATACATACATCAACCTTTTTAATAATAAGTTTTTTTAACTTCTAACATTCCTCATGTTATACACTTTTAAAATGATTAATACTAATATTCTATCAAGTAGGCATGCCACTATGTTTAATTAACCATTTCTCTAATACAGATTTCATTGTTATCTCAATTTCTCATCTTTGTGCAAAATGTTTCCTATCACTCAGATTGTTCATGTAAGTGGTCAAAAGTTCAAGAATCATGGGATTCTGTTCATGTAAGTGGTCAAAAGTTATTTGTCTGGGCTAGTTTACCTTACACCATCTAAAAAAATTACACCACACAATCTCCATTAAGTAATTTCTCTCTTTAGAAACTGAAATTCTTTGCTATGGAAACATGTTTAGTATGACCCAATTCTGTAAAGTATTTATGGGATGTTTAAAGATACTGTGTCTCAAAACAAAAGAATGACTTAATATCAATTGTAAAGTATGCAATTGAGGCATTTCACCATGTTCGTAATTTTTATCACATAATTAAGGTAACTAATGTGACTTTCAAAATTTAAAGCAGACTTACTCATGCCATCATAAATTAATTGATAAATCTCATTATTTCCTGTGTGAATAAAGAAACCTGACTCCTCTTATCCAACCACATAAGCAAAGCCAAAACTCCTGAATCTAAGAAGTGTGCTGGAAATGTAACAAGTCAGTGCAGGTCTATTTTCAAGCTTACCTTGCTAAACAAGCGTGTTTATTTTTTAAAAAAATTATCAAGTTCTAGATGGAAAAAAAAAAAGTACCTTGGACTAACTGCATCCCGTGGAGAGCGAAGCCATTCTTGTAGTTTGTCACTGGAAGCAACTCCCGCTTTTACCAGGTATGAATGTGGTTCCACACGGAAGGCCCAGAAGTGTTTCCCTTTCGTGATGCCCACATCTCCGATGATGTAGTCCAAGGTCGTATAGCAGCCCACCTGGATGCGTTCCGCAGCAAGCAGGAGGCTAAACCCAGCTCTGCTCTCCACACGGTCGCGCTTCAAGTTCAACAGCAGGTGTTCATTATTATAGCCACATTTTTCATCAAAGAGGAAACTGAAAACTGTAAATACAGCTTAAAGTTAGTCTGAGAAATATTTATTAGCATTTTTATAATTTACAGTTAAATGTTTTCCAAATAGATACTGAAAAGAGACCAAACTATGACAAAACCTAAATCCCAACTTAGAAATAACTTCCAGTAAATTCTCTATACCTGAAAATCTTCAGAAACCTCAAAGGCAGAAAATATTTTAAATATGAGAAAATTTATGAATGTGGTTCCTTTGAATACATACAGCAAATCTATCCTAAGTATTTCACACCATTGGATCTGTCTTTTACCCCTAAAACAAAGGGTTGTACACTTTCATAATTATCTATATATTCTCTTAAATGCATACTCCAAATTTTATAAATTTGAAAAAAAACGGCAATTTTAATACATCTTTTCCTTATTCATCAGCATGGCAGACGTGGACACAGTGTACAGTGTGAAAAAAGAAAGCACAGGCTTTGTGTTCAGAAAGACATGGGTTTGAATCCCTGCTCAAACATTTAACTAGAGCTTCACCTAAACTTAACTTCCTCAGCTAGAGAATGGAGATAACATCACTTCTCTTAAGTCTCTATCAACTCAAATCCATTAAGTGGAACATTGGCTGCTAGTCCAAAAACTGGGGACAATCCAAATGTCCACCAGCAGATGAGTGGATAAAGAAAACGCAGTACATACGCATACAAGGGGCCACCATTCAGCCTGAAAAGGAAGGAGGTTCTGATGCATGCTACAGCACAGAGGACCCATAAAGGGTTCAAGGCTCACAAAAGGATTATGTGAGATACACAGAACAGGCAAATTCATAAAGGTAGAAAGTAGAATAGCGGTTACCAGGCTCTGGGGGGAGGGAGCATGGGGACTTACTATTTAATGGGCAGAGTTTCAGAGTGGAAAAAAATGAAAAAATTCTAGAGATGTGAGTGTGGTGGTGGTTGTACAACACTGTTAGTGTACTTAATGNAAAAAAATGAAAAAATTCTAGAGATGTGAGTGTGGTGGTGGTTGTACAACTGTTAGTGTACTTAATATTACTGACCTGTACACTTAAAAATAGTTAAAATGGTAAATTTTAACTATATTATACCACAATTTTCAAAATTGTCTATTAGCAAGCTAAAACCATTCTCCATATGTAGCTGGCCATTCATTCTTCCTGGTAATGCCTACTGTGCTAACATGGTAAGTCACACATGCTTCCTTTTGATCTCAAAAGTCTCCCAGTTTGCAAAGTAAATTGCAATGGTCAACCTATTTATGTGGCTTCTCTCAGAGAAAAAGAAGACAATATTTAATGCCTCCCTCTCCCTCTACTATGCTACTGAAAAGAGCAGCTGCTTTCAGGTTTCTTTTTTCTCCCACATTCAATCAGACACTAGAAAAGAAAGCTGGGACTGCATAAACTATAAAATATTTATTTCATAACTACTAATCCATCCTAAAATTCTATCAGATTTTATTAAGACTCAAGAAAAACAATTTTAGCCAATCCTATTTATTTGTAACCTAATTGTTTTAAATTACCCACAATGTGTATGAAAAACCAACAGTGGATAAGTACACTCTGAACAAAAAGGGAAGGAAGGACAGACCACACAAAACATGCATACATAAGCCACTAAAAATGGGCAGGCGCAACAATGGGGTCTAGAAGCCAACTAATAGAACCTCTCAGACAATGACCAACAGAGCCAAATGTTTTCCTGGGAACCACAGTGAGCACAACCTTGGTCTAAGTGTCCCTTGTCCATGCAGACATTGTAGTGAACATCAACTAACCCATAAATCATTCCCATTCTATAAATATCTAAACACAATCTATAAGTAGTAACAGCGGGTTTTAACTTGAAGGGGAGAGGGGCGGTTGCTGGGCAGGAAGAGTTTTAATATGGGGAGAAAGCTGTCCATATGTTTCTAATATATCCCACTGAGCTGGGAATCACTGTATTAGAAAATCCAGGCAGGTCTAAATTAGGTTAATCAAAATTATATTTCATATTTTACCAATAAATTTTTAAAATATCTACCTTGATCCTATGTTCTAGAGAGTTCTACAAACTGATTTTAAAAATAGAGAATTATATTATTTAAAATTTGTAAAACTTGTAAGGCAGCATTTATGCTATTTTAATCCCAAATTAATAGCCCTAATCCCTCAAATGTCTTCCTTTCAGTTTTTAATTAATATCAGTCAAAAATCTAATCCTCACCTCAGCCTACATGGTGAAATTCATGTAATCAGTCCATTTCTAAACCTTAGCTGGGTATGGGATCTATTTCTCTAGGATCTTTTACAAATGCGAACTGGCTTCACGGTAGTCTACATAGAGACATTGACTAGTTTATTTTTATTAAGGTTTCTTCCAACTCTTTGCTTTTCAAATTCCCAGGGGTCACAGTACCTGGAGCTGGAGGAGTACGAAGAATCAATTCTCTGCTACAAGGACTACAGATGGAGCCCTTGTAGGCTCTTACTCTGAAAGCGTAGTTACAGTTACTCTCGAGATCTGAAATAACTTTACTCGTGCCACAAACTTCTATCTCATTCCAGGACAGCAAATCGTCATCTCTGTTAACCTTCCGGTATTCGAGGGTGTAGCTGTCCGCTTGGTCCTTCTCTGGGTGGTGCCAATTAATCAAAACATTGTTGTAAACTTTGCTCTGCTCTTCGTTGATCTCCGGCACATCTATGCCTGAAAGAATTATGAAACAGAAAACAATGGTAAAATATTGTTATTAAAGAGCCAATGATTCCTCAATTAATAATGGCAATACTTAAGTGGTTTCTTTACTGTTCAATTTTCTACATAGTATACCTTTCTAAGGACTGTAATTGTTCACAATCACTAGAAGAAAAATCTTAGGGGATGAAAAGGTGAGTGAAAAAAGAGGAAAGGAAGAACTCTCTTCTGGGGAGCAGCAACACACAAACATAAGCAAGTCTACGGGCTGAACTGTTTCTCCCCCAAATTCATGTGAAGTTCTGATCCCCACCACCTCAGAATGTGACTTTAAAGATAGGGTCTTTAAAAAGGTAATTAAGTTAAAATGAGGTCATTAGAGTGGACCTTAATCCAATATGAATAATATGACCGGAGTCCTGATAACAAATTTGGAAACAGATATGTAAAGAGGGAAGGCCATCTGAAGACACAGGAAGATAACCATCTGCAAGCCCAACAAGGGAGGCCTCTGAAGAAACCAGCCCTGACCTCAGACTTCTACTTACAACTTCAGGGTTGTAAGAAAATTAATTTCTGTTGTTTAAGTCACCCACTCCAGATATTTTATCTTGGCAGCCATAGCAAAGTAATACAGCAAGGCAAACAATCATCTTAGAGTCACTTTTAGCCTGAGGATATCTAGATTTCTGCCCTAGAGAAACTCACATACATGTGCACAACCACTGACAAAGATGTTCAATACAGCATTGTTTATAATGAGAAAAAAAATAGAAACAATTTTCTCAGTAGGAAAATGATTTACATAAATACTATAAACAGTTAAAATATAGCTTTAAACCAGAACTTTGTGTATTAAAAAATATTTATCTTAAACTTTTTCTAAAAAGCAATTTACTAGAAGGATACGTACAATCTGATGCCATTTACACAATGTTTGTTTAAAAACATAAGCCAATAGAATATAGTTTTTGTGTGTAAAACCATGGTTTTAAAAACATAAATCCAGTATGATTTTAAGATATCATGGTTCTGAGCAACTCAGATGCTGCTTCATAATGCCCAACTGAAGAGAACCTGTGTTTTTTCCTACGCAATGCAAATTCAGACTAAAAAGAGTGTGGGTTTGCAGTCAATAAAACTTACCACTAGAGAAAAAGGACAATTCTCCAAGAAGTTCTGTTTGTTTAGAAGTATTAACAACATAGTCTTCAAAAGAAGTCTGGGCTGCAGGTCTAAAGCTCTTCAAAGATTCCGTAGCTTTCTGTATCCTGTATTCAGACAGATAGATTTTATATAAAAATGACTTGTTAAAAAGGCACATCAGACTAAGTATTTGCAATGTGATTAACAAAAAGAAAACCTCACTCAACATGCAAGTCAAGAGTGAAGCAAGAGGTACTTCACATTCCAGCAGCACGAACGAACCACTCGGCTAGAGCAGAACATGCAGCACCATCTAAGGACAGTGCTAAGGAGACTCCAGGTTAGGGGAAAATACCTGAGGTGCAGCTGCTTGGCTGTCTGTACGAAGCAAGACTGATCCGTCTCCTTCAGCACTTCCTGAGCATATCCCACAAGTCCATTGTTCTCTAGAAGCCCCTGATATTCTTCCATTTGAATCTGAAATTTGTCTAATCTGAGTTTCTTCGAAGTGTCAATCGCTTTCAAAACAGTTGATTTCCTCTCTTCTAGAATTTCAAAGAGCTTTTCAAAATGTGTAATTGCATCTTCTTTAGCCCGCTCTCCATTACACTATTATAAAACAAACAGAGCGTTACCTCATCTCCTAAATCCCAATGTCTTTTCACAAAATAACCAAAATTCAACAAAACAAACCCAAGTATTGTAAAGAAAATAAATTCTGTCCCACAGAAGTTTGGCATCAAGGAATGATCAGCGAGGAACGATCGGCAGCTTTTATTTAGATGAACTTTGTAATTTTATAATATTTTACCTTTCTTAAACTTTTAATCTCCAAAGTCCAGCAATAAACAATGTATTTAATTAAATAAGAAAACAACCTTCAATTTGTAAACAAAGGAAATTGAGGTAGAAATTAACTGACTTAACCAAAGATAGGAGAAAATACAATTCTGGAGTTTTTAATTCATTTCTAATCAAGAATTTTTTTTTTACCACTTCCACCCTATTCCAATTTTTTAAAAAAGTAAATCACCACCATGAAACTCAGTAAAATGACATCGTTTATTAGGTTACAAAAATATAACTCTTCAGATATTATAATTTGTCTAAATCCTATGTGACTTTATGCAAATCACTTAAATTCTTATGCTTGAGTTTCTCTCTTCTGAAAATGGGATAAGAGAACCATTTGGGTTTGGGTTTTTTGGTGAAAATAGAAAAATATTACTTACAAAAAATGCCCACAATTGTCACATACTCCCAATAAACATTATTTTCACTGTATAACATGAGTGTTCCTCTACTTTGTCAAAAAACGATCTTATCTGTAGTGCTTATTAAACATTTTTAATGTCAATAAAATCAGAGATCAACTTTGAAAATAAGACCATCAGAGCACTCATAAGCACTCATCATAAGAGACCCTAAGCAGCAGCCGACAGAAAAAGTCTCCAGGAACATTCTTAAAAGCTGACAATATATTACAGACGTGCACTGTGCATTTTTCAGTGACATCTGGCCAATATTTATAACGAGAGAAAATTTTTTTACCAGATTTCATCTCTGTTTCCTAACCCCAACAGCCAAAATTTTGTGAATGGTTAGGACAGGGGAAGACATTTGGGTAGTATTTCAGTGACCTGTCAAGACATTAAACTCAGAAATACCATTATATGTAGGTAAAAAAGAGATTTTTCCCAGCTACATATTACAGATAAAGTATCCCAGACAGTAACACAATCATCACTGAGTAAAAGAAGAGAGATAAATTCTCTACTGCAGAAAGTTTTTACTAAGACTAAAAATGCTGCTTAGGTCAAAGGTACAAAAAGAAACTAAATGATTTCTTCAGGATCCCAAGGAATCAGTGTCTACATGAATATCTGATGGCCCGAGTTCCTCAATTTTCAACCTTCTGAATGAAAAGCTCCAAAACAAGTACTGGGTGTCCCTTATTTCAGAAGGGCAGCATGGCTGAGAACCAGGAGAGTAAAACAAACCTAAAATGACCAGAGACAAAATCCCTGAAGCAACCTAATAATCCAGGTGATAACATGCTCTGTGTTGGGGGATTAAACCAATGAGACAAAAATATAAAAACAAATTCCACTTTTAAATCACATGGAAAAACAACTTACTTAGGGTGGTGAATGCAATTAGTAAATATCAGAGAAAGAATATAAAAAACAAAAGCAATACTGGTAATATAGGGTTAATCTGCATAATTTCTCAATCATTTTAACTCATCTTTGAAAAAAATTTTCAAGAAATAACAGTCTCATACTAGTCAGGATATTTTTATATTTAATTATAACTTTCAAAGTGATCAGGAGTAATGGTTCTTCAATTTATTTTAAAGAGGAGACAAACAGGCATGAAATCAGTGAATATTTGGAATTGTGAAATAACCCAATCAATCCTGTCCTCTTTTACTATATTTTTAAATGCTATCAATTTTTCTAATTTCTTATTTAAATATAATACACAAACAGAAAAATGTACATAAGTATAGAGATCAATGAATCTTTGCAAACACACCCATGTAACCAGCATCCAGGTTAAACAAAAGGCCTTTACCAGTATCCCAGAAGCCACCCTTATAACTTTCCAAGGCACTAATCCCCCCCAGCTTCAACAACTCCTATCCTGAATTCTAACAATATATAGTCCAGTTTCACCTTTTTTGGCTCTTTTTATGAACAGAATCGTATAGTATGTACTCCTTTGTATCTAGCATCTTTCAATATCATTGCAAATTTACCTACATTGTTGCACACAGATGCTCATAGCTATAGATACTCATTCTTACTGCTGTTTATATTCCAAGACTAATGAACACTTGGATAGTTTCCACTTTGTGGATATTACAAACAATGCAGCTATGAACATTCTAATACATGCCTTTTGGTGAACATATGCCAGATATATACTTAGGAATATCTGGAATTTTAAATAAACCTGGTTCTATCCACATATAGTACATTTTTCAAATGTGATCTGTTAATTTTGTAAAATATTGATAATTGCAAAAGCTATCGTGTCCCTTATGTTGCTACTCTTGAGACCTTAACATTAAGAGTTAGTCATTCTTTCCTCTGTGCTCCAACATTATTTAATCACTTACCTCTATCCCACACTGATCACACAGCATTATAATTTACATTTTACATGTTTTCCTAGTCCCAGAAAAGGAGAGATCTAACATAACTTTGTACTCCCAGCTCATATACGACCCTCAAAATTTTATAAATGAAAAAATGGTTACCTAGATGAATCTGAAACTAGTTTATCACTTACCTCTGTTTCTTTCATTAACAAATTTAGCTCAGAAATCTGACTCTTCACCTGGCTCTCCTTGCCAATAAGGTAATCAATATCCTTGGAAAGCTTTTCCTGTTGGAACATATTAGTAACACAAATAAGCAGAAATGGAAGTTTAACACAGGCCTTGCAGAATCTTTTTTTTTTTACACGGTACTTCTCTTCTTTAGCCTGTGATGGACAGACTGTAAAATCAACTATGGCGATTACAGCTGTTACCCCAAATGGAGCCAGGCTCTCCAATGAGTTGAAAAGGTGAAGCTGAGAGTCCAGGGAGGCCAGAGTTTGTGAAGTGTGATTCCTAAGAACAGATGGCTAGAGAAGGAACTCCAGAGATGTACAACAGTTCCCCTCACTTATTAAGAAAGTACTAATCAATTCATATGTGGGAGAAAACTGCCAGAAGCCAGGGAAAGAATCACCCAAAAGGAGAGAGAACAATTCCAGGAGTTCATACAAGACTGGAAAGAGTGACTGTTCCCTACCAGCCAGACTAAATGCATAGGGCAGCGGGAAGAGTAAAGAAAGGTTTCTTATATCAACAATCTGGTTAAAATTAGCCCTGGACTAAATGTTGCTCTGTCCTGCTTAACAGAGCTTAAAAGCAAGGGCCAAGAGGAACAACTGTTCCCAAGTAACTTAATCACATACCAGAAGAATACTCAGGAATATCTGTAGGATATAAAAATATCCAATGCCCAAAAAGGTAAAGAGTAGAGTACCTGGCAGCTAGTCAAACACTGCCAGGCACACAAAGGAGTAGGGACTACAAATCACGATGAGAAGAAATATCGGTCAAAACTGACCTAGTAATGACGCAGATAACAGAAGTAACAGATGACAATAATAGAACAATTATACCTGTAATCCATGTGCTCAATGTAGAAGGAAGACATATAAAATGAGCAAGACAGACATATAAAATGCAAACTATTAAAACTGTATATACAGCCCTGGCCCGGTGGCTCAGTTGGTTGGTCATCACACAACAAAAAAGATGGTGGGTTTGACTCCCAGTCGGGGCACATACCTAGCTAGGTTGGGGTCTGATCTCTGATCAGGGTGTGTATGGGAAGCAACTGATCTGTTTCTCTCTCACACCGATGTTTCTCTCTCCCCCCCTCCCTCTCTCTCTAAAAAAATCAATAAAAACATATCCTTGGATGTGGATTAAAAAAAAACAAAAAAACTGTATATATGGATAAAAATTAGATATAGGCCCAAAATGCATATATACATATTGTTAAAGTTAGAAATGAAATAAAAATTAAAATGGGTGGTAGACTTATATATGGATTAATTTCTTTTTAAAATATTGTTTAAAATAAAAAAGAATGACACAAAAAAATAGTATTATACCACTGCTGACTTTGCTGTTTTAAAAGGGCCATGTAGCCCGGCGGGGCGTGGCTCAGCAGTTGAGCGTCGACCTGGGATCCAGGCGATCGGGGTTGGATTCCTGGTCAGGGCACATACCCAGATTGCGGGCTCAATCAATGACTCTCTCATTATTGAAGTTTCTCTCTCTCCCCCTCTCCTTTCCTGTCTCTGAAATCAATAAAGATATATTTTTTAAAAAAAGGGGGGGGCATGTATAAGGTTAAAAGACAGGAAGTAACTCAATTGTAGCTTGAGGGTTCCACCAGAACAAACAAACAAATAAAAATGTTTGTACTAATTCTACAGGCAAGCAACAAGAATCAAGTGTTTTAAAATAGCTACTGTCCTTCAAAGTGTGGGATTCACATACATGCAACGTCACTGGCACTGGGCTGACTTGGGGATCATAATGAAGTGTCCTTCACCCCTGTCTCTTTCCTCAGAGTTCAGGACTAGCACATCAGTATGACACAGGGCTACCTAGTCAGAAATCCTGACAACCTAATATATTAACAGGTTACACTGTTAACTCATTTCAGTAAAACAGACCCCATACCAAGTCATGATTTTATAAAGCGAAAGTTAAAGGCATAAAGTAAAATAGAGTTATAAAGAATCAAAATTTAGTTCCAAAAATAAACAAGTCCTACCTTTAAAGTTTTGTAGGCACTGCTCATAGTGGTTACACGGTGATTGGAATGATTACCACCCAGCTTACAGAGATGACAAACTGGCCTCCTACATAATTCACAGTACATGTTTACTCTCTCTGTTTCATGCTCTGGGCACATTAAAATCTATTGAGTGAAGAACAAAAGTGTGATTAAGGGTCATTATAGCTTCCAGTAAGGCACTCAAAGTCCCAAAATACAAAGATCTGCTTTAGAAAACCACCAAATAAGGCCATTTAATGAATAAAAATGTAAAAATAAATAAAAGCATCTGGTATATCATACGGAAATTCTCTATATTAGAATTACTATTGTTCACTTTCAAATGGTCAATATGTAGATGTTATTTCCCCTAAACTTGATAAGATGGTGAAAATTTCATTCCTATCAGACTTAAGTAGAATGTTTTAACCAACCGAGAAAGGCTCTGACCACCCTGACTAGGCAACTCTTAATGATCATAATCAGTATTTTTATAAGGCATAACAAATAACTTATGAGAACCCATGATCTCACAATCCTCACAGGAAATCTGCTACTAGGAGACTCCTGGACACTTTATGATATAAGCTTCCAGGTGTGTTTACTTTTACATATTAATTGCATACACATTGGCCAAATTTAGAATTGTGTTTTTCTGAGTTAAATTTCTCTTTTACTCAGGAAACTACCATCAAAGGTACATTTGAAGATTTACATAAAATAACTATTTTCATTTGGAAGGGCAGATTCCTTTAAACTAGTGCGCTGATGAAATCAAAAAGGTGTTCATGATATTCCAACAGTGTAGATTTGAAGCAACTATAACTGCTCTGATAATTTAGAAAGAAAAAAAGTACAGTATGAAAGTCCTAATATCAATGTGCAGGTCCTGGAGAAAAACAACTGAAAAAGATTTCAAATTTTTTAGCATGTCCAAGTTCCCAAATTCTCAAAGCCACTTCATTTAAAATAAAATATAAAGTCTGGCTTTCTGCAAGGAATGATCATAAGAACTCAAAGCTACAGGCAAACATTCTACAGGATAACCTTTTTAGAATTTTACTATATTGAGTAACACTAACAACTTAGAGGGGGAAAAATAGAGGTTATTTCTCAAAATGACCTCTTCCTATTTCTTCAGTTCTTATTAACCTTTTATTGTTTTTGTAAACAGAAATAAGACTGCAATTTCACTCAAAATTTTTACTCAAAATTTCATGAGTTCTTAACTCATAAAACCCAAGCCTAACATAATTTATTCAATAATCATCGGTTCTTTCATGATACAATTTATTAATAAATTTTTTAACTTAAAAACAACAGTAGAACACCAGACTGAACACCAGATTTTTAAAAATCTATGACCTTGAGCTTTAAAATGACATAGGAATATAACAGAGGATTGAAAACTACCCAATAAATCTTACCACACTAACATAGTTTAAAAAAAGAGTCATTCAAAAACATGGAAGCACAGATTTTGTTTTAATCTACCAGTACCCTAACCACAGTATTTAACACAATGTAAATACTCAGCTCACAGTTTCAATATTAACTTTTGGGATTTTTTTTCACTTTTCTATTACAAATTAAAGGTTTTATGCTCAACAATGTAAATAGATTTTCATACACAGTAACTAAATTGTAAGGAATTAAAATCTTAAGAGAATAAATTATAGTTTTTTAATCTATATAAATCAGAAAGCAGTCTAAGTGAAGATTCCAAAAATCATTCTGCTTTACAGTCACAGAGCAGGGAAGGCAATACATAAAGGTCTTTTGAGCATTATTACAGAAATTACCCAGAATATTTAAGAAATGCAAATCCTACTTCAGATAGTACATAGTATATCATGAGCTTCAGAATATCAGGCTGTAATTACACTTATTTACTCATAGAATTTTAGCTCAGGAAAATGTTTCCTAATCAAATCTTACAGACAATTATGGGTTTAAAACACAAAAGCTTTAATCATTTTAATCTTTTTTTCTTCTCTTTATTTTTCAGTTACAGTTGACATACATTATATTAGTTTCAGGTGTACACCCCAGTGATCATACATTACATAACTAAGCGATCATCCCGATAAAGCTCACACCCACCCAAAACCTTACATAGTTATTATTGACTATATTCCCTATGCTGTACTTTACATCCCCATGGCTATTCTGTAACAACCAATTTGTCCTTCTTAGTCCCTTCACCTTTTCCACCCATCTCTCCAGCTCCCCATCTCATCTGGCAACTGTCAAATGTCCTCTGTTTCTATGAGTGTTTCTGTTCTGCTTGTTCATATTTTTAGATTCAATTGTTGACTGATATGTATTTACTGCCATTTTGTCGTTCCTACTTTTGATTTTTGTTGTTCTTGAAGACCCTTTAACATTTCATGTAGTACTGGTTTGGTGGTGGTGAACTCCTTTAGCTTTTTCTCGTCTAGGAAGCTCTTTATCTGTCCTTCGATGCTAAGTGATAGCTTTGCTGGGTAGAGGAATCCTGGTTGTAGGTCCTTGCTTTCCATCACTTTGAATATTTCTTGCCAACCCCTTCTGGCCTGCAAAGTTTCTGCTGAGTAATCAGCTGACAGTCTTATCCGCCACACATGGGTGTGGGACCAGCCTGGTCCACGTCTCCACCCCTCCTACCAGTCTCCATGTGGCGGCTTCTTTAATTCCCTAGTTGTAAGACTTCCATTCAGTCAGACTTCAGGCAGTTCTGAATGATGGTTTTTCTATAGTTTAGTTGTAATTTTGATAGGCTTTTGGGAGGAGGCGGGTACCACGTTTACCTACACCACCATCTTGACTGGAAGAGCCTACCCATTTCAATCTTAAAGAGTATATCTGAGGTTACTTTCCTTCTATTACTCAGAGTTATCATTATGAACATTCCTGTACTGTGTTGTATTAGACTGTACTAGAGCAGAGTGAACCATAACACTGCCTTCTAACCTGTGGGGATGCTGAGCAACATACTAAAAAATAACTCCAACTACCAGGCCTTAATTTCTGTATACTGGTTTTAAAATTATTTTCTTTCTTACTGTCAAATTCTGGACTTGCAATAATTCCTTTTATATTAATAATTCCTTTTAATATTAAGTTTAATATTCTAACAATAAAAACTTCACTTACCTTGGGTCTAAAATTAGTGGTTGGGCCCACATACTCATGCTGAGCTTTTATAGTACCCCAAGGGTGATAAATTTTGAAGCATTCATTGCAGTAGCTTGCACTACAGTCCATGCAACTTTTTGTGGATTCTTGAGGTGGTGGTTTACAAAGGTCACACATAATGGCTGTGGCTGCCCTGGCTGCCTGCCGATATCTTTCAACAATAGTTTCCAAAGTGAAATTTCGAAATAGACCGTTGATTCCTCGCTCTCCAAGATCCACATCATGCTCACAGCCAGGGCAAGGAAAAGTAGTTGTCTTAGGGGTCAATGAATTGCGCTTCCAGCCTGTGTAATTAGTAAGTCCTTGTTTAGTTACATCAGTAGGAAAATGAATAGAATGAAGAAAAAAGGAGTGATGTTTTGTAAAGATATGTACCTACAAATATATTCCAAAACTGTAACACTCAAAGTGTTAACACTCCCTTTGAATTAATTCATATTCTGAAAATGCTTTTTTAAAAAACATACATATATATTTTCCCTTGGTAAATAAAAGATAGACCCAAGTTATCACACAGTTACTAAAATCAAAGAGGAAAGGAAAATATTCTATAGTAAATCCCATATAAAAACCATTTTAAATCAAACAGATATATGGACAAAATATATAAAACAATACTACACAGGGTCAGGATCTTTTGAAATTATATAATTAACATTTATAGTTATTTTTATATACCATATCCAAAGGAATTTGACTTCCATTTAAATGGACACAGCATTGACTGTGTGGTAAGTGATTCATACATAAAAAGGCAGGAGTCTTCAAACTGGGGTTCCATGAATAGGCTCCAAAGAGATCCAAATAGTTTTGCAAACTATTTGAAATTATATGCAAATTTTGCAAATATATACCCCTGCGCATATTTTCCAGTTAAATAATCCACAGCTTTTATTCGAGTCTCAAAGGATTGTGTGACAACAAAATTGTTAAGAACCACTGCAACAAAGGGTTCCCTCTGTAGTATTGTTTTATCTGGGAAAATTCAGTAGGCAAAATCATTAGTTAATTGAGTTCAATCTATAAAGAGTGAAAAGCTCATTCATAGACCTAAAATCTAGTGACTTTAAGAGGGACCAACCATTTAGTATCTTCTTATGACCTGAAAAAAAGAATCATTAAGGTTACTTAATTCAGTTAGCCAAAAGTTACCCAAGAAGTATTACAAATAATTTTACAATACATACACAACACAATGACCTTAAACATCACACTTCCATTCAGTATTGTCCTGACTTTAACAAATCAAAAAACCAAGACATGACAGTCCTTACCCACAGGTTCACAAGAATCCGGGGTTGTCCATTTAACATAGGTGCATGCATACTATAGTCCCTCATCTTATTTATAAATCTATTCTTAGAGTATGTAATCTTGGTTGCCCACAAAATAACTACCTAAAAATAAACAAACTTCTTAAACTACAGCCTTCTTTCATACCACCACGTATCTAGTATCAAAAATGAATGGTTAAACTTAGTACACCACATTTAGAAAAGGTCTTTAAACAGCTATATTAATGTTACCTTGGCACATTACTATCATCACTGAAAATACTGTCTTAAAAATGTCTGGCAAGATATTGTACAGGTAATATGTGGCAATCAGTTTACAATATTATTCACTTAAAGTGACTTTACAACATGCTAGATGGCATTGGGACCCGAAAGCTACTTATGTAAAAAGATGCAGAATATTTTTAATATCTCCATTTAAAGATATTTTAACCTTTACATTTTTAAACACACACCAAAATAGCATACAAAAAGCAGCTGCCCCATAAAAATCTGAAAATTCTACATAAAATATATTCTTATACTAATTCTAAAAACATGCAATCTGTTTTATAACACAGCAGGCACATAATGAAATAAGCAGCAAAGCTGTTTTTAAAACACATGCCAATGAAAATTTCACTTAGTGAAAAAACAAGCCAAATAATTCTGGAAGTGATACAGTGCAGTGGTCAAGTTTAAACAAATGGAAATTCACATTTTACTTGCATGCTTCCACACATGAACTAGGTGACAGAAATTAAAATGGTTAACTAATCTCATGAATTTTTTTTAAATGGATTATTACTAGTTTTATGAATTGAAGATTGTGATCAATTAAGCAATGGGATAAAACAAAACTGACTCATGACAACAAAATCATGCTTTAACGTACACTGGTGACACCCAGATTTGGGCAATTTCAAAAAAAGTTTTATCCCTTTTCTGTAAACCTCTTTTAACTTATTTTTATAATAAAAATAAAGTGTAAAGCATCATACTAAACTTCTTAAAGAAGACCAATATTATCTTGTCTATTTTTCTAAACAGATCTTAAAAGCTCTCAATTTAAAAAAAAAAAAATGCTTAAGAACTGATATATTTTATTTCATCTGTCTTATACTTCTATTATTGTTTTCATAAAAGCAAACAACAGAATATATGTTCAGGGCAATAAGAACATCTAAGGATATTCTGGGAAGTAAATCTAATGAAAAAAATCACGTGGAACTAAGAACAAAATGTAATAAAGTCAACTTTTTACTCTCTATAGCTGTGCTGTCTAATATAGTTAGTAACCATTAGCCAAATGTGACTATTGAAATTAAATTTAATTTATTTCAAATTCTCAAGAGCCACATGTGGCTAGTGACTACCATACTGTATGGTGGCAGGGTCAAACATTTCCATGATTGCAGAAATTTCCATTGGATAATGCTTCTCAATAGCATGATATAATGAATAAGCATAACCCATGGACACAGACGTTGGTGTGGGGAAGGCCTGGAGGTGGGATGGATGTGGGGCGGAGGGGATCAGTGGGGATAAAAAGGGGACATCTGTAATATTCTCAACAATAAAGATAAAGAAACTTAAAAAAAAAGAAGATAGAAAAAAAGAATGGCTTAGAAAGGTAAAGAAGCAATGTAGGCCAACCAATGCAATGTTATGTCAAACTGCATTTGTGGGGCCAATAATATACGCAAGTGATTTGAATACTGTTGGCTTGCAGAGTCTATTCTTTTCCCCATATACCTTTAGCTCAAAACCAAATTAATCAAGTACAAATCAATACAACTTAAAAATAAAGACTCCAAAAGTTCTTCAAAATGGTTTATAGCAAATCCCCCCAAAAGTCAGCGTTCAGTCATGTTTTACCATTTACATATCAAAGAGAAAAGAAGAGTATCTGAAAACAAAGAGAGTCAATTCATAACATGTTCAAAAACTCTGCTAGCTGCATCCCCTCCACATTCTGGCTAGAAACAATTTCCCCACTGGTACCACCTGGCAGGCAGTGGACTGCCTCTCCACACACTGGACATTCATGTTGGGCTTCTTGGTGTTTGGCAATGGACTGATGTAATATACTGCCACCTTAATGTTTCTTTTCACACATTCTGACTACCTGATTCCTACCAGTTATATTTTTGAGGATTATTAGTATTTTCAACTTGCAAAACGTTTCTTCTCAACTACTGCCTTAATCAAAAACAGGTAATAAGCAATGAACTTTTAAAAAGCAAATTGCTCCTATCTTTCCTCCTAATTGCTAAATTTCAATATTTAAAATTCTCAGGGACTCATTAAAGCCTGTAAGAGAATAGATTACACGTGTATTCTAGAGGTGACTATAAAATTTTTAAATCAAGGCATCTAGAGGAAGGTAAGGAAGACAGAAAAGGGGTAACATTTCAGATGTTTATTTTCTCCAATAAGATATAAGGTATCACCAGCATTTCACAAAAAAAGTAGCCAATTTTACTTTAAAGGTCAACTGGAGTAAAAAAACTCTTTTTAAAAATAAGATAGGTTAGCCCATCTTTCACACAAAACCAAATACTTCAGAAAGTCTAAAAAAGCAGTGTACATTATTTACCCACAAATGGGTATGACTTCTATGTTACAACTCAAATACTTTAAAACGTTAACAAATAAAAGACACCATATGCATAAAACAAGCAAAGACTATGTTTTTAACTACAAAAATTATCAACTTCTTTAAGCAAATTTTTAAATACAGAAGAGAAGAAAGCTTAGTTAACCTCCCCAAGGTAGCAATATGGTTGTTAACACAGCTTTGTTCAACTATAAAGGATAAATAAATGCTAAAAGGATTAATAAATGATTTTTTTTTTAAGGGAGGAGGGAATGGGGGACATCTGTAAATAAAAAATGTTTTAAAGTAAACCTAAAAAATAAATAAATAAAAAGCTAACAGAGGTACATCATTTTCTTAAAAAATATCTTGTCATGTATATTGACAAAATGCGAGCACTAATAATCAGCACTCCCTGTGAAAACATCAGCACCTGCTTAGAAATTTAGTCCTGTTGACCTTTAAGTCATTTCAGCCCAATTTGTTCACTTTCCACAAAATTTTGAAGACTTGACCACTGATGTTTAAAATTTTATCTACACAAGGTTATTTAATTTAAATCTAACGCTATACTGCCTGCGGCCACACAAGCGATAAAGCATTTTCTACCTCTCCACCCCAAAGATCTCCGTTGTGATGCTGTGAACAATGAACAGAAAGCTAGATTTAGAATTTAATTTAAGAAAGAAGGTTCACAACTTAACAAAAGATAAAGCAGTAACTGTTCTGCACATAATACAATTATTGAGTTAACAGTAAAAAAATGTGTTTTTCCTGGTACACATGATATTTATGAAGCCATCACTATAAAACATTCATCAAGCCTATGTTAGAGTTCAGAATTAAACATTACTGGTGCAGCACTTAAAAGACTGCACTTTATCTTACAGATTTTATTATTGTTGTATTTTTAAAACAACCACATTTCTGGTAACCACTGAAAATACAAAGTAAAACCAAGCATTTTTTTTGTTTGATTTTTTTTTTTTACTGGTGTAAATAACACTGTAAATAAACATTACTAAAATCAACTTTATCTTGCTAACAAAAAAAAATACAAAATAGGGGGGAAAGTTTACATATATATGACCCAAAATGTACAGTAATATAGCTCCTTCATTTTTACATAATTGAATATGCTATGTTTATATCCACAAATCTTACTCCCCTTTCAAGGCACCTTTTATTTTTAAAATCTGTCAAATCTCCAATGCAGTGCTAGCAAAGGAGAGCCAAAAGTGTAAGCCACGTACATCTTTTTAAATTTCCCAACAGCCAGATAAAAAAGAAACAGGTGAAATTCATTTTAATAACACATGTTATTTAATCCAATATATCCAAAATACTATTAAATATAAAATTATAGAGAGATGTTTTATATTCTTTTTTCATTCTAGGTGTTTAAACTCCAGTGTATATTTTACACTTACAGCACATTTCAATACAGACTAGCACATTTCAGTGCTCCACAGCCACACGTGGGGACAATCCAGGTCTAATTAACCCCTTTACTAAACCAATGGCAAAACTAATTTTTAGAATTCTATTGCTCCTACACCAATTACTCAGAACAGGGTCTCTGGTTTCATTCTTAAGCATGTCTAAATGATGAAAAATTTAAAAAAAAAACCTGCCAGAAAAAAAGGGAATATTACTTACCCATGAGTTTATGTTTGAAGCTATCCAAATACTCCATAAATGGAGTATGACTATTTTAAAACTGGTTATCATGAGGTAGGAAACCCTAAAATTTGCATTCATTTGCTAAAAACCTCCAGGACTGGATATTATGCTTGGAGCGTTCTCACCCTCTAAGTGCTCTATCTGTATCTATTAACTTACTTACTTTTATGCTCTTTATGAAGGATTGTGTTATTGCATCTCTTATGAAGCTCTTTCTACTTAGGCTATATGCTTCTTGAAAAAACAAAAAAGAGGGAAGGTCTATGTTTTTCATTACTCTTCAGCATTTAGCCATATCTCATAACTAGCAGGTAACTTAAATATTTGGCAAATGAATGAATGCAACTGGGACTCAAAAAGGCACAGCATTTCAGTTGTGGAGAATACATAGAAGATGATATAACAACTGGCTTGACCCACCACCCAAGGCAGAAATCTCCTCTACAATATCTGCAAACAATGCTCACCCATCCATTGTTTAAAACAAAGACTCCAAACACTGATGGCCCAAAAGCTGGATGGGTCAGTCAAAGATGTGTTTTGGCCACTCTTGACCTTACGTTGAGCTGGCATGGTGTTTTTAAATAATCTGAATCGACTGCCAACATTTAAAAAACAGACCTTGCATCAAAACCACTATCAGTTTTTTCTTGGGTGGGGGAAACTGTAAATCTGACAATCTGGAGCCCCCAAATCCATATGATAATTCATGAGTGCCAAATGGCGACTGCTCCTTTAGACAAGGCATCCATTCTGGTCTCCGCAGTCCCAAACCACGCCCACTGTCTCCAACAGGGTGGGCCTAGAGAGAGCTGGCTGCTGACACTTGGGCTGCGGGTTTTCTTATAGCTGAATTAATGAGAAAATGAAATATTTATTGTCTCTATGCCTATATCAAAGAAGTAAAATAAAAGAGCTTATGGAGCTTGCTTTATTAATGTACCTATTTGGCCCCTGCAGCATCTAAATTTGACCTCTAATTTAAACACTTCCAGTGACAGTGATCTGGCAAAAAAGTAGGCAGCCCATTTTATTTTTGGACAGCCTTAGGTGTTTGTTTTCTCTCACGTTAAACTGAAATCTGCCTTCCTATTTTACATATTCACATACTCCTTAATCTGACACCTTTGCCGTGAAGATGCCCAGTGTACTGTTCTCTTCTATAAGACAGCCATTAAATTTTGCAGTCGTCTCTTCTTATTTCCTGTAACTGTTCTTCACAGAAAAGCTTTCTAAATTCCTCCCTCAGGACATAATCCAACTTAATAAGTTCTTCCTAAAGAAGAGGGAGGAACATCTCAGTAATTCTATGTTTGATCTAGATCTCCTGTTCTGGCAAGAATGCCATTATTACTGAATATAAGCTGTATGGCATGCTTTGAACAAATCTTGCAGCAGAGGGTTTGTCCCTTAATATTCACTCATCACATATTTATTAAACATCTACTGAATACTATGCTAGGTAAATTCCTGGAAACAGAAACAGTTCACTATATTTCATTCCTACTTCATATTAATCACATGTAAAAACTAAACAAGTGTTAAGATTAGAAGCCTACATAAAAATACAGGATTTCATAAAATACATATATAAGCACAATCGAATTATACTTAGAAATACTAGCACACAACTAAAATTCCTTTTAATGGTCTGTGCTAAATATTAGCATACAAAAAGTAAATTTTCCTTGGTCAATCAAGCAGGGGTCCCTAATTAGCCAATGAGGATCTAGAATATCAAGTTTTATCTGGTAGGATAATTTCAGGCTGTTACTTTCTTCCCCTCCTCAGTGCGCCAGTTTCCCAGCAAGGATGGAAACAAAAGTGATGACTTCACAATGAGCATAATATCCCTCTCCGACCTCATAGTCCCTGCACTCCCAGTTACATAATGCTCCCTTTTTTGTATACAGTCAAGAGCTGCATAAAGACAGTCTGATCAGTGACAGACCACACACAGACAGTGGTCCCATAAGATTATAATGGCACTGAAAAATCCCTATCATTTAGTGACATCATAGCCATCCTAACGCTGCAGTGCAACACATTATGTGTTTGTGGTGACACTGGTGTGTAACCAAACCTACTGCCAGTCACATAAAAGTACAGTACATACAATTAGGTACAGGACATAATACTTGATGATGATAATAAATGACTATGTTACTGGTTTGTGTATTTATTGTACTATATTTTTTATCGTTATTTTAGAGTGTACTCTTTCTGCTTATTAAAAAAAGTTTCCTGTAAAACAGCATGCAGTTTTACACCAGCAGTAGCCTCATATACTGCATCTTGTTTTCCGTGTCTTGATAGCATCATTATCTCGTGTGTTTGATTTAATCTGCTGTTGTTTTGTACAGTAACATGTTGTACAGGCCCATAGCCTAGGAGCAGTAGGCTCTACCATATAGCCCAGATGTGCAGTAGGCTTGTGTTAAGTGCACTCAGTGATATTCAACCACTAAAACACCTAATGAGGGATTTGAGAATGTATCCCTGTCGTTAGGCAGCATGACTGTATATATATAATTTTTATATGTGCAAAATGTCTTAGTGATTACCATTTAAAGAAAAATACATGTTTTTTAAATAGCACAATACTAGTCTTACAACAAATCTGCTCTGCTCTTATCCACTCTCTGATGGAGCACAAAGACATAAACATTGCCCAGGGAGACTCCATATCACACCTAGCATGGACCAAAAAAGATTACATTCCCTAAAATGTAAATAAGGAGAGATTCTTTTCTGATAAGAAAAGTTTTCGCACAAGATTAAAAAGTTACTCCTATACTGTAAGAGGAAGAAATGGACAGGCAACCAATCGATGTCTCTCTCTCGCATAGATGTTTCTCTCTCTCCCCCTCTCCCTCCCACTCTTTCTCAAAATCAATGGGGAAAAAGTGGCTGAAGAAAATAAAATCCTCAGGTGGAATAAAATACCAAATTATTCCCTTTAAAAAATCCTTTAGGATTAGTCACTATGTAGTCTCATCCCTCAATTCTGCATATTTATGTACATATTACCACATACAGATGTTTCCCTAGTAAGTACTTCAGTAGTCCATTACTTTATCCCTCAGGTAAAGGATATCACAGGGCAAGAACACCTCCTAAAATGCACACAGTTAATAAGTTTTAACACAAAATTGGCGTTCAATATTCAACTTTAAGTGCATACCAAAAGACAATTAGAGTTCATTTTGGCATTTTAAAAGGGGGAACGGTTCCTGTAAAACTACAGTTTTAATTTATTCACCTGGAAAGATGAACTCTGAAAACGACAAAAATAATTTCCCTTCCAGTTATCAATGAAATTCCCTGACCCCAGTGTTCTACCACATACCTGGTCTGTTAATCCTGTCAATTTTATCCAAGCTTGGGGAGGTGACCCAAAGTCGAGGACTGCTCTGATTGGAGTTGTCTGATCCCACATCATTGAATGAATCATCAAGTGTCAGTAAGAGTTCTTTCACACACTTATGACAAATATTATGTTGACAAGGGAGAATCAACGGGTGGGTAAACAGCTCCTTGCATGCTGGGCAAATGAGCTCTCTTTCAATATTCTTAATGGTAACCTTAAATTGGAAGAAAGAGAAATCAGAATCAAAGACTCTTAGTGGGTAAATATAGTAACATGCTTATACCACTTATAGAAGTACATGTGTTTACCTTTCCAAAAAGAATTAAGAAACAGATTTTTTTTAAATCTGTAGTTCCTTTTTGGCTATGACATACTATACCATCAACCCCCTTCTCAACACCCAATAGCCAAGAACTGAAGTGACGTGAGACGGTAAAAACTGAAGAATGAGAAAAATTAGTAGAAAATATTAGGGAAGCATAATATTTCATCCATTATGAAGTTATTCAAACCATCACTAATTTACTGACTTAGGACTTCAGTGAAATCCTAAAAGCAGATTACTTTAATAAAAATTAAGAATATAGCTGTTTTCCTATTCAGCACATTAACTGTGAGTAGCAAATAACAAGAGCTGGTCAAAACTAGGTTAGCCAGTACGTACATGGAACCTTACCTGAAACCTACTGTCAAGCTGAATTATCAGCAATTTTTACATTAAATGTGACCATTTTTCATACGCTGCAACTGTAATGTAGGTAAAATGCTTGAGGTTCTCATACTGCAATATCAAAGCAGTTATCTTAAAAGCACTTGATAAATATTGAATGGATGTAGAGGATTAGAAGACACCATAATAAATGCTCTCACTGCTACGAGCTTGCACTATTTTCAGTGAAAAACATTTATACTCTTATCACAACTAAAAAGGTTTTATAACCTCATACCAGTTTTCCCATCCTTTCCCTATTCAGTTTTTCCCCCCATGTATGTCAAACTTCAAGGGCTATGAATGCCTGGAATTTTAGTGATAGTTCAACTTTAAAGTACTCATAGCCTTGAAAATCACTTCAACTACTGAAAATACACAGAAAATTACAATTGAATTAAGTCACTTATTTTAATTAAATAAAAATGTATGCTATACTATTCCCCCTAAAGTGACACAAAGTGCTTTAATCCCTGACAGTGTCACTACAGCCAAGTGGCTCAATGGGTCTTTGTAGCGTTTCTTGCTGCATCACTCAATAAATACAGGGTGGGGCAAAAGTAGGTCTACAGCTGTCAATACATAAAACGGGGTTTATTCTTGTATTATTATTTATTAATTATTGTATTATTTCCATATGAACAGCTGTAAACCTACTTTTGCCCCACCCTGTATTTATGAAAAGCCCCACATTGTGTCGTAATTTGAGTAAATTTAGAAGACAGCCACACCTCACAACTCATATCAAAGAATACGGAATATTTGCATCCTATCTCATTTCCAAGGAAATTGACAATTCAAAGGAAAATACTGTCCTGAATATCCAAAATAGGTGCTCACACCCCATTTTAATGGGCGGTTTACCTCTCACTGGAAGATCTAAATTCATCTCCATTTTTCTTGTACATAAAGCAGTACATAAGCTTTTTAAGCACGATGTACATAAAGTAATTTTTACCCAGAAGATAAATTAATGTTCATTTTACATTCATTGAGGGGAAACAATCCGATTAAGAGAAATGTGATGTGGTGGTTTCCACAGTTAAGCTGTTCCAAAATAAATGAGGTTCGACGGAACACTAGCAAGTTCTGAAGAGCTGCCTACCCGGCCCTTCCCAGGCCACCGGTACCCCGCCAGCTGCGAGGCGAGCCCGTCCTCCGGGCCAGCAGAGCCGGGAGGAGCCCCAGCTCGCGGCCGGGGCGAGGCGGGCGGGGCCGAGCCCGCGGGGGGCCCG